CTGAACAACGAGAACCCTGTTATAAACTGAACAACGAGAATCCTGTTATAAACTGAACAACGAGAATCCTGTTATAAACTGAACAACGAGAACCCTGTTATAACTGGACAACGAAAATCCTGTTATAAACTGAACAACGAGAACCCTGTTATAAGCTGAACAACGAGAGCCCTGCTATAAGCTGAACAACGAGAACCCTGTTATAAACTGAACAACGAGAACCCTGTTATAAGCTGAACAACGAGAACCCTGTTATAAACTGAACAACAAAAACACTGTCATAAACTGAACAATGTAAATTGAATTCTTTTTGAAAAAAATAAATTTATTTTGATTTAATTTAAATTATTTTAAATTAAATTAAGAGATATGTGTGACTTATGTCAAATAAAATAAATGCTTAAATCCTAAAAATATATTATTCTTTGTTTGTTTTTATTTTTGGTCAGCAAGTTTATGCTAGATATTTATAAACATTATTTTCAACTTTCAATATCTTTTATTTTGAAATAAAAACTGTACATTAGCAACAATAATACTTTTCTAATCCTATATTTGCAATCAGATATTTATGTATGAATTTAATGGATCAAATAGTCTAAGGTTGCAAAGATACAAAGATTTGAAAATCAGTGAGAATGTTTGATTTCTTTATTGAAAATAAAATAGATTTTTTTAAATTAATGAATCGTTTTTCAAAAATGACAAGGAAATCAATCTTATTCTCGAAAATAAGTACAATCTAGAGCACAAATGTTTGTAAAGTCCATTTAAAAAGTTTAACTTACATAACTGGAAGTTCAGCGGAGCATTCAATTTTAATCCGCTTAGTGGAATCCACTAAAACCATCCGCTCATCTTCTCCTATATACAGTTCATCCACTACACCAGATACATCTGCTTGAATTCCGCTAAATAAAACAATATGCACCCGCTAGAATTCCGCTAAACAAACCAGATACACCCGCTATAATTCCGCTAAATAAAACAAAGTTTATCCGCTAGAATTCCGCTAAATAAAACACAATACATCCGTTAGAGTTCGGCTAGACAAAACAAAATACATCCCCTAGAATTCCGCTAAATAAAACAAGATACGTTTTATAGAATTCCACTAAATAAAACAAAACACATCACTTTAAATTCCGCTAAACAAATCAAAATATGTTCACAAGAATTCCGATAAATAAAAGAAAAAACATTCGTTAAAATTCTGCTAAACAAAACAAAATACATTCGCTAAAATTCCTCTAAATAAAACAAAATACATCCACTGGAATTCCGCTAAACAAAACAAAATCCCTTAAAATTCCGCTAAACAAAACAAAATCCCATAGAATTCCGGTAGATAAAACATAATACATCCATTAGAATTCCAATAAATATAACTAAATACGTTCACTAGAATTTCGTAAGATAAAACAAAATACATCCGCTAGATTTCCGCTTAAAAAAAAATTGCTTCAGCTAGATTTCCGCTAAACAAAACAAAATATATCCGCTAGATTTCTGCTAAACAAAACAAAATGCATCCGTTAGAATTCGCTAAACAAAACAAAATTTATCCGTTAAAATATTGTTATACAAAACATCATTTTCCAGCTGTACAGAAATGCTTATGCTAAAAATAATTACTTTTAATGCATTCCTTTTGTTTGCAAGGATAGCATCTAGATTCTAGAATAGGATATTTAATTTGTTTAAGCTGCAAATTCAGTAATGTTCAGTATAAAAAGAATAAATAAAAAAAATTACTATTTCTTTAAAATGTATGATGATAAAGCAAAAAACTATAAAGTGTGAAACGTGTGATTTTCACACTTTTAAGTCAAGTATAGAGGGAGGGGGGGGGGGGGCTTTGTCGAGACTTTGCTTAAATCAGTAAATAATGTTTAACTTTTTCATGATGTGTCTTCAAGCAATATGTGAGAGAAATGGAATTACCCACGGAAAGATAATATTTTTTTGCGAAAGTTTTTTTTTTGGGGGGGGGGGGAAATTTATAATTGTAAGTTTACTTGTCTTCGCAGTTTTTAAATTGTAGCGCGCCAACTAGAGCAGAAGAGATGCTGGACAGTACAAGTGCTACCCTCAGGTACATGTTTACCAAATGTACACTGTACAGTACAGCAGAGGTATGTATCTACATGTACGTACTGATGTGTACAATCATAAATACGGCATCTGAAATTAAGATTGTGATTTTACTTTCAGTGAAATTTAAGAAACAGAGTTGCCATAAAAGGATAAGACTTCAATGACGACCTAACGCATATTAATTCTAACAATCTGAGGGTTGAACTAAAGCTGTAATGACTTGAAGAAAGTCTTTTAAAAGGAATATTAAATGATTTGTCAAAAAAAAAACTAGTTTACAACTGTAGGAAACAATGTATATTTAAATAAAAAATAATAATAATGATCAATTTTTTTTACAGCCGTCTCTGATCCTTTGTAAGTAACCCTGTAGTTAATTAATAAGATAGGTATTCAGAGGACCCATGGTGAAATTGAACACGGAGGAAAGAGAACGGAAATATACTTTTTAGCAATTGATCTATGAATCTAATATTCTTTAATATTCTTTTTTCTTTAATATAATTTAGATGAAATCTTCCAAAAGAGATTTCATAATTCTCGGAAATTCGAATACCGAATGGAAAATTTTAATACAGAATTTGTTCCAGATAGAGAATTAGACACGGATACATATGAACCTGGGATACAGAATCATACCCGAGTACAGAATCTATTCCGGATATAGAATCAGCTCTGAATACAGAATCTGCTCTGGATACAGAATCAGCTCTGGATACGTAAGAAGTTCTGGAAACGTAAGAAGTTCTGGATACAGAATCAGTTCTGGATACAGAATCAGCTCTGGATACAGAATCAGTTCTGGATACAGAATCAGCTCTGGATACATAATAAGTTATGGATACTTGATCAGTTCTGTATACAGAATCAGTTCTAGATACAGAATCAGTTCTGGATACAGAATCAGTTCTGGATACAGAATCAGTTCTGGATACAGAATCAGCTCTGGATACAGAATCAGTTCTGGATACAGTATCAGCTCTGGATACAGTATCAGCTCTGGATACGTAAGAAGTTCTGGATACAGAATCAGTTCTGGATGCAGAATCAGCTCAGGATAATATAACATCTTAATACTCAAAAGTATACAGTAACAAATAAATAAATTAACTTTATAAATTATTGACGGAAATTTTACTGTCAACTTGTATTATCACAGCTGGTCACTGGTTAACTTGGGATTGAGAGGCCCATTTAACATTATATGGAGTGTAGAGAATAGATAGATAGATATATGAATGGGTTGATGAAAATAATAGATAGATAGATAGATAGATAGATATATGGATGGGTTGATGAAAATAATAGATAGATAGATAGATAGATAGATAGATAGATAGATAGATAGATAAATAGATAGAAGCAAGACATTAATTAATTGATAGTAGATGTATATATAGACAAGCCAATAGACAGACAAGTGGCAAAAGATAGATAGACAGACAAAATACATTGATTTTATGATAGATAGATCAAATAGACAAGATACAATGTTTTTATAATAGTTTATAGATCAAAAATAGACAAGATATACTATTTGAGAGACAATTATTTTTGTCATTTGGATATATCCATGTCTACGTCAAACAAAATAACCAATCGATTAACCCCTGCAAAAAATATTTCTATTAATTGGATATTTCTAAAACAAATCTATTGCTAGAAGAACTAGAAATTACGTCTTTTCGGTGTTATTTGAATCAATTTCACAATTAATGACGCAACAAGGTAAATATAATATATCACGCAGTAGACTTGTACACTGTACAATGTACAGAGCTCACTAGAGATTAGAGAACTAAACTCTAAAGCTTGAACAGGACAGGATAACTATGCTCTAGGTAGTAAACAAGGCAGTGAGTGACTCTCTCTCTAATCTGTGTAGGTGCATGAGGTGCATAACTCAGCCAAGCCCTAGAAGTATAACCGCGGGCCGGTACAAGGGGAATACGCTTAAACGGGTAATCCTGAACCCATTGTACGCAAAAAATACGAAAATGGAAATAGGGACCGTTGTACAATGTACATAACAATTACAGATACATTATACAATATACATAAATGAAGAATATTCTATGATTGATAGTTTCATGAACGTAAAATTTGAAATTAATTATAAATAAAAAATATTTTTAAAGAGACTTGCTTATAGGAATTAGTATGTATCTACATGAATGTTTTAAAAAAACCATAAAATATAATAATCAGGCATAGGCGTAGAAAGGGGGGTTACATGGGGGACCCCCCTAGAATCTCGGGGTTATAGTACATGCCCTTCTATAGAATCTTGGTCTCCATTATCCATGATTACCAAAAATAAATATGAAAAAAAAATTTATAAGCGCTTCGCCCATCATTAAATTCAATCAACTTAATCAAAGTAACACAGATAAGATTTACCAAAAAATTTATTAAATTTAATGCAGTATGTGAACGTGCACTATGGGGGGGAATGGGGAGAGGGGAAAATAACAGTTTTTAGTTAAAAAGTATTATTTTGCCCCACAATTATAGGGTGGCTAAAAAAATATTGCCACTTTGCGCCATTATTTATTGATCTTAATTAAACTTCAATCTTTTATCTCAAATTAGCTATTCCGTTTGGATGGGGGGGGGGGGCAAAAACAAAAAGTTAAAAAAGTAGCATATTTTTATCTTAATACAGTAAAATCAAAGTATAAACTATGCAGTGACTATATCATAGGGAATAACATAAATGACGGCACAATTCACCATTTCGTCCGACTGCACACCCATTTTTTCGTCTGGCACTGTTTATACAATATACATTCATTTTTAAAGTACTTTACATTATTTGGTTTAAATTTTGAGCCACATTTTTGTTCATTTGCACTAAAATGTGTTCATTTGTGCTATAAATAATATTTTATGGGCAATTATGGTAAAATTTTAGATTTTAGTTAGATTGAACATATTTTTGTTCATTTGCACTAAAATATGTTCATTTGTACTAATTAATATTTTACGGGCATATGGATGGTAAAATTTTAGATTTTAGTTCGATTGAACATTTTTTATTCATTCCCACTACAATATGTTCAATGAACTAATTAATTAAATGAACCGAATTCCGGTAGAATTTTAAAAATAGTTCTCCATGTGCTCGAAAAACCTTCCATGTGGTTTTTAGTTTGATTGAACAATTAGTTGTTCAGTCGCACTAAACGTTAGTCCGAATGAACGTATAGAGCGAATGTACGTTAGTCCGATCAATCATTAGTGCAAACGAGACGACACCAATTTGTACATCGGATGATATTTCTCAATGTCGTCTTCTAAGTAGAAAGCAGGTATATCCGGACTCAACAGCTGTTCAAGCTGTGTCGTGTCAAAATATTAAAGAAACCCAAAGGATCAACAATGTTTAGAAAAATTTAACTGAGATGTTAGGAATCTAAATCTAAGGAATTGTAGCACAAGTCTTTATGAGAATTTCATGTATAAAAATGTGAATATTCATATGTTGACATGACTTGTTTTGCAGTTTTATTAGTAACATTTGTTTAACGCTATTTTACATCAAACATGAATCAGTAAATTTGTTAAACAATTGATTATGTACTGCATATTGCACTGTAGATAGATCATGAATAATGTTGAAAGTTATTGAAATTAATAGATCGGGTCGGTATATTCCTAGAGAACGATTTTTGGACCCCCGCCCCCAAGGCCCCCCCCTCCTAGCAATTTTGTACATGACGAAATTAAAATTAGTATTTATTCAGTATTATTCAGGGTTAGGTTAGGCTAAGACACTTTCTGGCCGAGTGCTGCGGCTAGGACAGGCTAGGGGGCCGAGCGCTGCGGCCACGGGCTAGGTTAAGTTAACGACACTTTCTGTAAGATCCATGCACAAAATTGATAGGAGAGGGGGGGGGCTGGGGGGTCCAAACATCGTTCTCTAGGAATATATCAATAGATCTAAGACCATGCATTCATAATATACAAGGGGTCTATAGTTCTTTAGATGAAAATCATTTTATTAGGACCAGGGGCGTACTCAGGAATTTATCAAGGGGGGCTCGATTTTTTTTCTTTTCTGGGGGTGGCTCAGCACCCGCTTGGGCCTTTAAAAACTCTGAAATCGAAAGATACTGGTCCAGGGGAGACATAGAGCCAATAGCCCCCCTGAATACGCCTCTGATTAGGACAGTCAAGGGTTGCTTTCAAAAGCAATTACTTCTGGAAAATAAGCACTTCTAATCCTTATGCTGAGCGCCTTATAAAAAAGACAAATTTTTATTATTTCAGATTAGAAATGGGATTGACGATTTCCAGTCTGTTTGGCCGATTATTCGGGAAAACTCAGATGAGAATATTAATGGGTAATTTTTCGAAAATTTAAAAAATGTTTTCACATGTTCAGCCGAAAATAGCTAATACCAACAAACTTCAGATCCAAAATATGAGTTATAAAACTAAAACAAGGCTTAGCAAAAAAAATATTTTCGATCTTCTTTCTGTATAATAAAGGTCTTCGCTTACATACATTTATTTTTATGTCATTTAAAGCTGGCCAAACTGCTGGACCAAATTGGCTGATTTTTTTTTAGTTCCATGAGTACCATGTGGGTAACATAGGCTAAAAATCGGAAGTATTGTCTTTAAAATTATTTTTTTTTAATTCTATGGGCAACGCCGGGCACTAACAAAACAAAAAACAACCCCTTTTCATTCACTTTTTTTATTGCAACTTTAAGTAAAAAACGTATTAATTTTTCTGAAAAAAAGATACTTTGCCTTTGTTACTATCACTGCTTATGTGACGCATGAAGTGGCTTAAAAATTAGTTTTTGGGTGCATAGGTTCTATGGTGGTGTGGCCCAATTTGAGCATTTTGTGAATATTTTAGGTTAATCGGAGTATTGCATCAGGTGCCAGCTGTTATTGGTTTATCGGCAAAATCTTGATTTCTGATGAAGGTCAATGACCTCCGATCTCAAATTTCCGGTTAGATGACCACACTCGAAGACTGAATGCAAAATATAAGCCTTATATCTCAATGTTAAGAACCAACCGCAGCCTTTACACATTATGGTGTCGAATTGCCCCCTAACTCGTAACATAAATCGAGACGTGCATTACTCCCACCCATATTCATCAAGTTAGAGCAAACATTTTTTTTTGCAATTCAATACTGAGGGTTGACATCACCCAGAGAACCTATGCACCTTTAGATTTTCTGACTTAAACTTTGTATTGTGTGACCCTACTGTTAATTTGTTTTTAATATTTTTTACATTTGATTGTATTGTTAATTGATAGTTGGATTGGATGCTGCTGGTAAAACTACAATTCTTTACAAACTGAAACTTGGAGAGATAGTCACTACAATCCCAACCATAGGTAATCCCATAATTTTTATCCTTACCATGTGGTAAACTTTTAACTATCAATATCATCCAAACAAAGTTAAACCCAAAACTATTAACATAACCATGTGTAAATTTATAACTACAGGGTGTCCCACGAAACATGACAGTATGCAAGACGACTTGAATATCGTCTTGATTTTCGATATAATTTGCTGCATTTATTTGTCAACCTAGTTTTGGAAATAAATTTCTAGAGATAATGATCGCAAAATTCCCCTAGTCCTGCTTTTTCCAAAATGTGGTCTGCATTTTTTTATGCTTTCAATATTGCCCGAGATATGAATAATTTCGTTCAGATTTCGACAATTTTGCTTTTATTTAAAAAAATTGAAATCTGAACCAAACTCTTTATATCTCCTGTAATATTGAAAGCGCAAAAAACGCAGACCACTTTTGGGAAATGCCAGGGCTAGGAGAATTATGTGATAGTTGTTTCAAGAATCATACATGTTAAAGTAGATAGAAGACTAAATGTCACAAATAAATTCAAATATCAAAGACGATATTCAAGTCGTCTTGCTATTGTCATGTTTCGTGGCACATCCTGTACCATCCCAACAATATAAATCCCTTACTATCATCCCAGCCATTGGAAAGCCCATAACTTTCTTCTTTAGCCATTGGTAATTTTTAGCCATCATCCCAACCATAGGTGAATACTGAAAAATATATAGCTACCATACCAATCATAGGTAAATAATAACTACATCCAAACCATAAGTAAATCCATAACTATCAACCCTACTATAGGTAACCCCCATAATTATCATCCTAATCATTGGTAACCCCATAATTATCATCTTAGCCATAGGTAAATTCATTTTATCTTTCTTACCATAGGTAAAAACATTTCTATCATCATAACACTATGTGAATCCATAACTAGCATCCCAACAATTTGTGAATCCATAATATCATCCTAGCCATAGGTAACGCCATAACTATGATCCTAACCATAGGTAAATTAATAACAATCATCCCAACCATAGGTTAATTCATAACTATTATCATAACATTATTTGAGTCCATAACTATAATCCCAACAATATGTGAATCCATAACGATCATCCTAGCCATAGGTAACGCCATGACTATCATACTAACCACCGGTAATTCATAACTATTATCCGGTTCATCCCAACCTTTGGTGATTTATAACTATCATTCTAATTATTAGTAAATCCATTACTAGCACCCCGCCCATAGGTAACCCCATAAGTATCATCCTAATCATTGGTAAATCCATAAAAATCATCCCAATTACAGGTAAATTCATAATTATCATCATAACTATATGTGAATACATGACTATCATCCTAACAATATGTTAATTCATTACTATCATCCCAAGTCCATTACTATTATTCTTGCCGTAGGCTACGCCATAACTATCATCCTAGCTATTGGTAATTTATAAATATCATCACAATTATAGGTAATCCCTTAACTATCATCCCAACCGTTGGAAAATCCATAATTATCATCCCAATAATAAGTTAATACCTTACCAACCTATAGGTAAATCCATAATTAGAAAATAAGTATTCAAAACCTGATTTTAAGTTTTATTGTATCGACATTATGTTTCATGCTAGGCATTCTTCAGGATACTAATTTGGTGATTTCTTATTTCTTAAATCCATATTATGTAACTATCGTCTCCACCATAGGTAAATTCATAATAATCATTCCAGCAATATGTCCATAACTATCATTCCAATCCTAGGTAAATTCATAACTATCATCCTAGTCATAGGTAAACAAGTAGTGAGTAAGTAATTTATTTATAAAATATAACAGTAGTGTAGGCTGTGGGAATATTTTCCCTTAATTCTTAAGAAATAAAAGATACATTTTTATTTTTAAATTTTAGATTAATTTTTAAATTTTAAATCAATTTTTAAATTTTAAATTAATTTTTTTAATCGGTGTATTTTCAAAAAAAGAAAATGAAAAAATAAACAAAAAATGGATAAAATAGATTTATACTTTTATTTGTGAGGCTTATGTAGTTGCAACTTCATTCTATATTATTTTATTTTAGGTTTTAACGTAGAAACTGTTGAATACAAGAACATTTGCTTCACTGTCTGGGACGTCGGCGGCCAAGACAAAATCAGGTAAAACGATGGCCGTTTGGACTGCGTATCAATTTGGAGCAATCCAATCCACCCTGTATCAAATTCATAATTCATCATAACATTCGTATCCAACCCGCTAGCAGCAAGGGCGTGCTTCAAGTGCATACACAGACGATTTACTAAAACAATTATTCTCGGATTCCCGCTTTTCACTTAAACTGCGATGAAATTTAAGTTATTCAAAGTTATTTATTGCCGGTTGTTATACATTCGGGGAACTGATATATCACTGTATAAATATTCCTTTTTAAGTCTTGATATCCTTCATTTTCGTTCAACTCGTACATGGAATTGATGACTTTAATGATGTCAAATAACAACATTTGTTGAATGATCAACAAAAAATGAAGAGTTCTTATGCTACAATTATTTTTATCCAATCTGTAAATCTCCCTCAATACAAAAATGTTATTTCTGAATTTTAACAATTTGTGGTAGATTTTATACTTCTACTGGCACTAGTACTTTAAATTCAACCTAAATCAACATTTCATGATAACTTCTTTTTTTCAGTTCATTTTCAGACATCAGTCTTATACTCAGTTTATTAAACTACGTTTTAGCTGACAGTCCCTTTAAAAGCTTAAATAGCTATGATTAAATGTAAACTATGTTTTAGCTTTTTGGTCACAGTTCCTTTAAATTTTTAGACCTATGATTCTCTTACATATTTAGACCTCTGTGGCGCCATTACTTCCAGAATACCCAGGGACTTATCTTCGTGGTGGACAGCAACGACAGGGAGAGGATACAGGAGGCACAGGACGAACTTCAGAAAATGGTGAATATTCCGATTTTCAAAGTTAATTTATTTAAGAAACCCCCCTGGTTGCTAGTGCTCCTCTATAAGAATCCCACCCTGGTTGCTAGTGCTCCTCTATAAGAATCCCCCCCTGGTTGCTAGTGCTCCTCTATAAGAATCCCCCCCTGGTTGCTAGTGCTCCTCTATTAGAATCTCCCCCTGGTTGCTAGTGCTCATCTATAAGAATCCCCTGGTTGCTAGTGCTCCTCTACAAGAATCCCCCCCTGGTTGCTAGTGCTCCTCTTTAAGAATCTCCCCCTGGTTGCTAGTGCTCCTCTATAAGAATCCCCCTGGTTGCAAGTGCTCCTCTATAAGAATCCCCCTGGTTGCTAGTGCTCCTCTTTAAGAATCCCCCTGGTTGCTAGTGCTCCTCTATAAGAATCCCCCTGGTTGCTAGTGATCTTCTATATAAATCCCCCCCAGGTTGCTAGTGCTCCTCAATAAGTCCCCTCCTGGTTGCTAGTGCTCCTCTATAAGAATCCCTAAGAATCCACCTGGTTGCTACTGCTCCTCTATAAGGATCCCCCTGGTTGCTAGTGTTCCTCTATAAGAATCCCCCTGGTCGCTAGTGCTCCTCTATAAGAATCCCCCCTGGTTGCTAGTGCTCCTCTTTAAGAATCCCCCCTGGTTGCTACTGCTCCTCTATAAGAATCCCCCCTGGTTTCTAGTGCTACTGTATAAGAAGCCCCCCCTGGTTGCTAGTGATCCTCTATATATCGAGGGTAACTTGAAGTAACGTTTGCTGCACCTTTAACCGCACCCCCGTATAAGCTGTGTAATATAATGTATGAAATTGAATAAGTTATCCATTATCTTCTCTTTCAAATATAGGATATTTCAATTATGGTTTCGGGCATGTTCCGCCCTTGTTCTCCTTTAAATGGGGAGTCGCTTGAAATCAGAATTCTTTTCAGCGAGAAAAAATTTGAACTTTTCTTAAATCGACTTAAAATGATCCGATGAACACAATATTCAAGTTTGATTCAAAAATAAATAAATAAATTTCATGAATTTTTGAACAAGTGTATTCAATTATAACAGTTGTTTTACTTGTTTGTTTGGTTTTATTTCTTGAAAATGTATTTTTATTTTTTTGCTTGAAAGTCTGAAGCAAAAATACTGGGTTTTCGTCGCTTAATTTAAAATAAAACATCATTGAGGGGGGGGGGGAATGCTTTTTTGGGGTAAAAAAGTATCTGAGGGTAGGGGGGTCCGATTTCAAGTTTACATACTTATTTCGTTTTTCATTAAAAGATCAATATTTTCTAATTCATTTTTTAAAATCCCCAATTCTATCATTGAAAATGCGCAATTTATTCTATTCTGTCCTATAAAAATTTAAATTTGTTTGAAATACTTAGGAAAAGAGACCGACCACATTTTCGAATATTATAGGACTACTTGTTAGGAAAAAAAATGTTTCATCGACAACCCCCCCTCCCTACCCATTAATGGGGCTTTTGCCTACTATGAGTCTTTTTTAACACAAAACAATTTTTTCAGAGACACTCCTCTGTATATTTAATTTTATGCTTTCTTTCTGATGATGAAGATAGATGCATGAGACAGCAATGTCAAATTAAAAAATTTTAAAATTTAAAATAAAAATACTGTGAATCTGCCAATGCTGTTTTTCTTCAAGTTTTAAAAACTATGCCAACTAAAGGAAACGATGCCCTGTGCCATTCTACGGGCCGCAATTATGCTTGTATTCTAGTTGCTAGAGGACGAGATATTAAACGCGATTTTACTTGTATTTAATAGCTTCTAGTTCTAGTTGCTCTATAGAACCAGCTATGGAACGCGAGTATCCTTGTTTAAATATTTGTTTGTGCTAGTTACAAGAGGACGAGCTACGGGACGCGATTATCCTTGTGTTCGCAAACAAACAGGATCTTCCCAACGCGATGACCGCTAGCGAACTCACAGATAAGCTCGGACTTCAAAACCTCAGAAACAGAAAGGTCTGTAGATATTGAAAATTGAACATTTATTATAAATAATTACGCACCCCAAGGCACATCAACTAAGAAATTTCACTTTGAATCAATCTCTTCACAAAGTCTCCTAAAATTAACAGGCCTTCTTCTCGTTTTTTTTCGAAATCTCTCAATAGTTGGAGTTTAGCAATCTTTAAATGTTAAAAAAGTTCACTATTTAAGTGTGGAATGTGGTATTTTTTTCTACGTTCAAAATTTTAATATAGTTTTTTTCAAATAAAGCTACGGTCGGCACAATCTTTATATGATGATTTTACCAACTCAACAAAAAATATTCCACACTTACTGAATCGTCCGTACATTAAAATTTTTAAGACGCAATTAAGGAAGCAAATGTCAATTTCCAAAAATGAGATGAAAAAAGTGCCTACGTACTTTATGCCCGGAGACGCTTAATTTTCAGTCAGATCATTAAGGATTTCTCCGTCAATCCTGAGCTGAAAACTTTAGAATGGTGGATATCAGGATTAAGGCTTAAACCACTCTTTTCAAACTAAGTTTCTTAATATCCAGTTTAAATATTGCTTGTTCTCCACATGAATTTAAACTCCAGAGAAGTTAACAGATCGGATATCTGGATATTTCATTCTAAAGTTTTCAGCTCTGATCAGTTTAAAGTGTTCTACCATATTGTTGTGAATCGCTACTCTATAAATGAAGGGGCGCTTGTAAATACGAGTACAGTCCCTTTAACGATCATTTTATATTGTTTATTTTGCAGTGGTACATCCAGGCAACCTGTGCAGTGCAAGGTCATGGTCTATACGAAGGCCTGGATTGGCTTTCCAGCGAGCTGAGCAAGGTTTAAGGACACAACCTGGCGGGGAACAGACAGCATTTATGCCACCCAGTCTAGAGAGTGCTCGAACATTTAAATATATATACTTCAGCGGAGAAAATTATAGTTTATGTTGTAAACATATTCTTATCATTCCTGTTGTTTCTGTATGTCTTGTTTTTCTTTCTTTTTTAATCATANACGGTGATTCACTGCCTGGATCAAACTAGACTTAGAAGGTCCGATTTATTACAGTAAACAAAATTTAGTATTAAATTCAACATTTTATTAAACAAAAATCGAACCTTTTAAGTCTGGATTAAAGTTTTTCCTTCAATAACAAATTATTTGTAAAACATTTGATTTTGATTTTCCATTTTAACATCAAGTTTTCTCACCAATATTTGGATTAAGTGTGATATTTTTTTTAATTTTATGACTTGGAAAATTGGTCTTGGCAGTGAAATTGTTAATAGTATTTTTATTCACTGATTCTTTTATATGAAATATATCTTTATATTTAAAGCTGGTTTTTTGTCGAACATTTATTTTTTAAAAATAATCGTCTCTAATTGCGCGGCATTAATTTGGGAATTTGATCTAGCTGCGATTCGCTCACCTTAAATGTAATAATTTTTACTTATGGAGCATTTTTCTTTACTCGTTTATAAATAATAACAGTAAAAAAATAGGTTTTCCTAGAGAAAAATCTTGTGTAACTTTGAGTGCATTTTTTTCTGATTGGACGTAATCTAAGGGCATGTAAAGTCTAAAGAACTTTTGCCTCCCAAACTTTTTCACGTTTTACGCCTTTTGGATACAAGTAATCTGAGATAAATAACACATTTCAGGAGATAGTAGTTCCAAAACTAGCACTTGGCAATAACGGGAAAGTGGGTTTTGTCTCGAAAATGTTTAAAATTCAGAATATGTTCGAAAATGGAAAACCTGTCACTGTCTTGAAAACGGTCAAGAGATTTAATATAAAAGAACTACATTTTTGATAAAAAAAAGTTTTAAGTGGGAATTGTTGTCCTCGTTTATGTTCAATGAAATTTTAGTTATAGTTTTTAGCATCGACTTTTACTCTGGATATGGGCCGGGATCCCAAAAACCCAGTCTTTCAATTTGTGCCCATTTCTAACACTTAGTGTTAGAAATGGGCCAAGTGTTAGTTTTGGAACTTATGTCCCTTGTATTTAACTTTGCAATCCCAGTGAAGCCCTGGGATTTCAAAGCTTTGATTCGTGATGTCCAACAACTGGGTTAGTCTTAAAACAAATTAGGTCTTTTCATCTTTATCGGGTTTCACCAAACAAGAACTGAAAGTTTTACAAATTTCAATTTTTTTAAAATTATGTTTCACTTTACCAAATTCCTAATATTTCGCATTAAGTTATGTAATAGCAAACTTGTATACGATTTGTTTTGAAGTGTATGAACCTTATCTTTATTAAACGTTAGTTTTTGGTTTCTGATAAAAGTCTTAAAACAAACTAAATTATTGCCCAAATATTCTAGTGCCCATACTGCAGGGTTGACCACAAAGGATACGACTTCAGAGACGACTGTACGGAAGTTAGTCAGAATTGTTTCTCCCTGCAGTTGAAAACTAGTTCTCGTTGCCAAATCTTTTAAAAACTTCATACAGGAATGTTTAGCATAAACACGAACATATTTAAGGGTGTCCCACGAAACATGACAGTTTGTGAATAGTTTTGAATGTCTTCTTTCATATACTATATTAGATATTATAGACTTTTTGCAGTTTATTTAGTTTTAAAAAATCTTTTACTCAACTATATTTTACTTTGAAATCAACTTTACTTTGATATGGCTGGCATGAAAATTTTTATATTATTCTCGTGGGGTTCAAACAACTTGACAAACAATGGAATAAGACATTTTAAGCTTTTACCAACTGTCATGTTTCGTGGGACACCCTGTAGCATATGAATTATACACCAATTTTTTTTGACTAACAAAATATTTTATTGCTGACTAGTGACAGTTTTTAAATGGAAGATATTTTAAGATCTTATTTGAAGAGACTCGAAATAAAGAGAGACATGCCCGATTCTAAAAGGAAGCCTTCAAATCTTTATATGATCAAAAATGTGGAAGAAATCGCCGTTTTTCTAGCGATTTTTTTCTTTTGTTTCTGTTTCAAGAAATCCAGTTGTCACTTTTGTGGAGGACTCGCAATTAATAATAATTAAATGATATAAAAATGAATATGGCGTCATTTATATGATTAACAGTTATCTTTTGTCTTGAGAACCCAGCGCTACCCCGGTATAACCTTAGTTACTCCCGCAGTTTCCCCGCGCTTAGTGGTATATTAAAATCTCAAAACCAAGCTAAGAACATTCCCGTGGTTCTACCGAGTTCCCCAATACAAATTTGAGGCAAATCGGTCCAGGGGTTCATGAGTTATGATCGAACATCCAAACAAACAGAAAAACAAAGTATACAACTTTATATATAAACCAACTTCAGATTTCGCTGGTATTTCTGTTAACATCGGCGAATTTGCAAAATGTTCAACAACAAACAACATGTTAAGGAAAAGTGCAAATTTTAATTCTGGTCGCTCCGAGACCTTTCCTTGATAATTCTTTCTTTGTTTTAATTGGTTACAAACAAACTTAAACAACCAAAATTTTATCTCTGGTGAAATTAAGGATGTCTATTTAAAAAAATAGTTTTTTTAATTTTTAATTAAAAACATAAAAATTTTATGTTTTGAAATATGCTGGATAATTCCAGTGTAATTATGACTTGATGTGTGAATATTATGTATCCACAAATGGCTGAACCAAACGCAATTTAGATCTTTAAATTTTTTTTAATCCACCAATGAAATAAGGAAAGTACAAATGTTGTTATTTTTTTGAATGAATTTTTTAGTATATTTCAGGGTGTGTGCTAAATATATTTTTTCACTAGAAACACGAGATCTTTTGTCTTGCTACATAACTCCATAATCTATATAATTCATAGTTTTACACTTTAGGATACACATATGCATACTGGTTAGTAAATTGTCATAGTTATTTTCTATTATTAAATCAAAATTAGAACTCACAACGTTTTTTCACCAATAATAGTTAGGTTCGACAAATACTGCAAACATAGTCTAATAAAAAAAATTGCCATTTATGAGGAGTTTGTTTTGTTGATTTTAGTATGTTTTTTTGGAATAAAAATAAATGGTTGCGAATTATCAAAGTCTCTGAACATCAACTTTCGATTCAAGGATGATTTCGATTGAGTTGTTTTAACATGATAGATCAATATTCTTTTTCGACATAACAAAATAAATCAAAATTCCAGCCTCTTAAAATAAAAAACTGTAGATATATGTTACTTTTGACTAAGCTTATTTGTTTAACTATGTACATAAAAATATCACAACCATATTATCCTGCATAAGTTTGTACACAATGAAGTGCGGCCCATCTGTACGGTTAGTTAAAATGAGTTTTTCGCTTTTAAAATTTCAAGGTCTTCCGACTGTCAGTCTGCAAAATTCATGTCTTAAAATTGTATTCTCCATAAGTTTGCCTTTTCTACATTTTTCAAAATTTTCAACGAATTCAAAGTATTTTTTCCTTCTTTGCTTTGCCCTTTTTCATATTCAGAGTACAAATTTGGACATTCTAATCAAAACCATCAATTTTGAAATAAAATAAACACATCAGGTTTTTTTGTGGAAATGCATTGAATGTTTAGAAACAAAAAGATCCCCATATCTAATTGTTAGTACATGTTTATCCCATCCTAGGATACGGTATCATATCTTTATCTCTATCCATGAAGGAAACATACATTAGATCAGACGCAGCTCGTTCTCTATCTCGGACACCCTGTGGTCGTGGAGGTTGTCGTCGGGGAACCTGACCTTGTAGCTCCTGGGGGCGTGTTCCATGGAGTAGATCTTCTATTAGGGGGCGTGTAGGGTAAAGGAGAACACTGCTCTGAAGATGTTGCTGGGTTGGGTTTTCAGCTTCTCTCATAGGTTTGAAATTCCTGCTGCTCCGGGACCCAGATAAAGTTAAACCTTCACCAGACTCAACTCCACGCAGTAAACTAAAAACGATATTTTAGTTAATATCATGGATAAAATTAAAACCAGCTCAAAGTTTCCTTTTTGTGGCTCATTTGACTAGATACAGGACTGCATACAAAGAATGACATTTGTAACAATTTGTAGTCCTTGCATGCCTTGATTTAGATTTTTTTGATAAAGAAAAATATAACCTTGCTAATGCAAATAAGTGAAATACTGTTTTAGCAAACTAAAGATATAAATAGAATAACTTGAGTCTACAGTTCTCCCTGTCTTCGTACTTATTATCATGTTTATTGAAACTTATTAAATTATAAATTTCTCATGTTTTATTTTCAGAATGTCTCACCTTGTCATTAGCTGAGGATGTTTGAAGTAAATATTATAAAGAATATCCATCATTATTTTATCATTTTCTTGCGGATTTATCAAATTTAATCCGTTCTCAGTAGTTTCACCTCTTTTCTCCATCATCTCATTTACATCGTTTTCAACCATTTCTGGCCGCCATTCTTCCTCTTCACCTCTTCGAATTTCATCTTTTTCTTCATTTGTATTTATTTCCTCTGCTTTATTTTGGTTTTCTAAATCAAATATTGAATTTTCATCCACTAAAAACAAACACAAAAATTGATAAATTTAAAGGGATTTAAAGGGACTGCAGTCGTAATTTGAAGTAACACTCGCTTGAAATGGGATCATTCGATTCACAACGGTATCCTTTAGATCTTTATCCGATCAATAATGTGGAAGATATTTTCGTTTGTCTGACTTGAAAAGTATAAAATTTTGACAATTTCCTTCAGTTTTCTGCATCCGAAATCTGCAAATCATTTTAAGAAACCACAATTTACAATTATGCAAGCCAAAGTTTTTCAGGGTACCGTTGTAAATCGGACATGACATTCTATAATTTGAGAGTCACCTGAAATAAGTTCTACACTCTGAAGTCTCTTCAAAACATTTTTTACCATTGACCCATTAATGTGATAAACCAGCCGTTTAGTTTGCTCATGCTAGCACATTCGAAAAGTTTGGTTCAGCCATTTTGACTTTTAAAGATAAGTTTAATAGATAAGTTTTTTTTTCGCCTGAAAAGTAATTAAAACACGTTAAATGAAACATTTTTACATCCATATAAACTTCCTGACATTAGAGATTATTCCTATATCTTCTCTGCATACAGATTATGTACAATACATTGCAAGCTTTTCCCTACTGAAATAGGAGGGGGGGGGGAGGTGCTGACCCCCACCCCAATGGTCAGAGCTGCTCTCAGATTTTTCTTTAGGCATACAGCTGATGGGCCAAACTAATTTTCAATTATTTAGCTTTTTGAAAAACCTAAGCCAAAAAAACCTTTATCTGGTTTAAAATGTGGAAGATAACGGCGTTTTTTCTGTATTTAGTAAATTTCTTCCGTTATTTCTACAAACTAGAAATTCGTCTGTCAATTTAGTAGAGAAACTCTAAATGAAAATCAACAGTTGGAAGAAAAAAACCTGCATAGCTAATTCTTATTTGTCATGACAAAACTTTTAAGGGTACCGTTGGAAATCCGGCATTTCCATCATTTCCATATGGAGGGTCACTTGAAATTACGCTTTCAGACCCTGCAAATAGAATGGGGGGGGGGGGGGGGGGATCATAGTAAAGTAATGTCTTGAAAACTAACCTGAGTTTGAGAATTGAGAAAACTTATTAGGTTTGTGGCTGTCCGTATCCCAGCTCTTACCCCTGCCTTCTCCATACTCCAATACGGAGGTGGCGGGGTCCCTGGTCCTTGGTGAATTCTGTTTTTAAGGGTTTTATTTGCAAAAAACGGATTTTCTAGTTTTTGCTTTTAAACTATTTTTTTTACAAATTTGTTTATTGTTATTAAGTTAAAGTCAAGTTTACTTTTCAACTTTTCATTCACAAAATTTTTTTTTTTTTATAAAACACTGACTTTTTTCATCCATGCTCAGTTTGCTCACTGCAATGTGAATTTTACCATATAAATGGTGTATATAGTAATCATCGTGCATATTATATATTGTATAAGCTGTATATGAAAGTGCTGTAAAGCTACCAGAATATCTTTTTTTTATAAACTATAATCCAATTATAAGTGAACTCTAAGTTCTCATGCAAAGATGGCAATGCCCAATTTACAACTGTAGCATTGGAACCTTAACTTGATGAAAATGTGGAAGATAAGATTGTTTTTCAGACTCAAAAGTGTTAAGTTCTAATAATTTCATCATTGTCACTCTTGCAGAGAAACCACGTATGAAAATGAAAAGAAACAAAAACATTCATATCTAAATCATACTTGATCAAACAAAGCTTTTAAGGTTACTATACTTATTGTAAATAGGACATTGACATCTTTACAAAGAGGGTTATTTGAAATTACGCTCACAGTCCCTTCCACCACAATAATAATGTGTTAATCATTTGAAGAATATAAACCCTTCCTTATGTTGAATATTAATGTTACTAAGATGCCAGGCTTCCGGGAAGATGCTTCTAAAATCTTGAGGATTGGCGCTGTTTAGGGGATAGTGGTGTTCCCTAAGAGTAGAGATGGCGTTATTTTTTTCAATCGTTTGTAAAAATTGGTTTCGTTCACTCTCATAATTATCGTTCAATTATCGTTCAATTTTGTTCGTTTTCAACTTTTCTTACTGAACGATCATTCAGTAAAATCGCACGTTCAGTAAAACTACAAAAACACCCTGAGTAAAATACTATCGTTTTTTTAAAATTTTTTTTTTTTCTTAAAAGTCGTTTGTTCGATAAAAAACTATCGTTTTTTTATTTCTGTTAACGATCCAAGTCATTGGTCCATCGTTCGTTTTTTCGTGAACGACACTATCGTTCACGAAAATTTTCGGTCGTTCACAAAAACCATGCCCAGTCTACCTAGGAGTATCTACAGGAGGATGAGGTGGCCTATGAGTATCTCCAGGATGAATTGACGTAGTAGTATCTCCAGGATGAGGTGGCCTAGGAGTATCTCCAGGATGAGGTGGCCTAGGAGTATCTCCAGGATGAGGTGGCCAATTATTGGAAAAAAAAGGTTTGCTGGTTGAGTAAAGAATTGGAATAACTATCAGATGAATTAACACTGAGACAATCGAACAATATTCATTTTGATTTTTACAAAAAAAGATGATATCTTGTGAAGACTTAATACAGCTTAGCATTTTAAAACACTCATATTTAAGTAATTGTTTTTAAAGTTGCAACAAAAAATAATTAAAAAATGCAGGTTTAGTGGTCAGACCTAGCATGCTCACACTACGTCCAAAGTAAACATTTTTCCAGAGAGTTGTAAAAAAAGGTAAATAAGATTTTTTATAAAATGAAAATTACCAGAAAACACTCTCTGTTAATGAGAAATATAAAAATTCCAAATATAACATTTTTTCTTTTTAATAATCCCAGTTCAGATTACAGTCACAGTGAGGCTTAACCCGTTCAAGACATGAAGTTTGTGCTCAGAGATAAAATTAATTCTACGGTAAAGAGAGGGTTAATCTGAGTTCAAAATGTAAAAAATGTAAATCCGGGACCAAGGGAATCCGGAGAAAATCCAAATTTAAGATTTGGAGAAATTCAGGGTTCAGTCCTGATTTTCAGAGATACTTGAAAGTTAAATATATTCTCGCACGACTATTTTAGAACAAACATACATAAATACAATCCTTATTATTTTTGCCGTATTTTGGGGTGTCATAAATCTTAATCTTTAATCTAAACCTTCACTGAATGGGAATTTCTACGCTAAGCAATCAAAATTTTCGATTACAAAGAGAAAAAACAATTTATGCACACATTCTCTGTATTTTATGAAACAAATGATGAAACTAATTAAATTTGTATCTTTCTTTTAATGCAGAATTATTAACAGTATTATCTCAGAATTGCCTTGGGTTATATGTTAGTTTGTTTAAATACCCAGGATGGTTTATCCGACTCAACCTTCCAGAGAATGTCAAAACTTGTTAAAATCTTGATGAGTTGACTTTAGATCCATGGTTTAGGTAATAAATTCTCAGTTTTAGATGATAAACATCTAGTGTTTACATGATTGACTCCATGATTCAGGTGATAAACATCAAGACACATTTCAGAGAACTATGGATTTTATCAGAGTTCATCCCCTGAATCATGGGGTTTATCATCTAAACCTTAGAGTTTATCATCTAAACCTTGGATTTTATCATCTAAACCTTGGAGTTTATCATCTAAACCTTGGAGTTTATTACTAAAACCTTGGTAGTTTTTCCCTGAACCAAGGAGTTTATCACCTGAACTACGGAGTTTATGATCTTCTTAAATGTAAGTAGTAGTTTTTGTGATGTTTTGTTTATAAATATTAGTTAAAACAGTCCCAATACTGTTCATGAAGTGTCAATTCATTTTCTTTTTTTACTTTTTTATCTTTAAGAAGTTGAACCACAAAACTATCATAACTCCTAAACCACTTTAAAAGTTTAAAAAGTAAATATGTAGTTAACTTTTAGCAAGGATGAATAATAATAAATATATTCACAATCTAGTCACTTATAATATGACGAAATTCGCGATATTTTTCCAAAAATTATTTCCTAAAAGTAGCTAGAAACATTTGAATTGCAGTTGGTTAATTGATCTCCAGACATGCACCTAACTGGGTGTTATTGCTGTTTTTTGGTATTTGAGGGTAAACCTAATCAGCCTTCAGGACAGCTGTGTTTATAGAGTATTTAAACTATGACTTTTTTATCTAAACCATTGTGTTCATCATTTAAACCATAGAGTTTTTCACTCTAACCATGTAGTTCAGTATCTAAAACATGGAGTTTAACCATCTAAACCTAGATATTTATCATCTAAACCTTGGAATTTATCCCCTAAACCAAGTATCTATCAAGATTTTAACAAGTTCTGACTTTCTCTGGAAGGTTGGTCCTGATCCATCATCCAGGATATCTGGAGAACTAAATAAGTCTGCTGATATAAACTCAGACACATCTGATTGTTATTAACTAAGTTATGAACTTAAAAAAGAAAACTATGTTTAAATTGTTCCCTCGTTTGTATAATAAAATACGAAAAACGTGTTTATAAATTGGGTTTTTTTTCCTTCTTGTAATCCAAATTTTGTAAGTGTAGCACATAAACTGTCATTTAGAGGCGTTTTAGACGAAACATTGTTATATGACCCCCAAAATACAACAAAAATAACAAGGGCCGTACTTTTGCATGTTTGTCTTAAAATCATTTTATCATTTAAAGTATCTGTAAAATCGGGACTGAAAGAAACCTTGTGGATTTTCTCCGGATTCCCTCGGTCCCGGATTTAGATCTTTTACATTTTGAACTCAGATTGACCCTTTAGCATAGAATTAAATTCATCTCTGAGCACAAACTTCATGTCTTGAACGGTTTAACTGTGTACAGTGTAACTGTGTACAGTGTAACTGTGTACAGTGTAACTGTACTAAATAAATAAAATAAAGTTTTATTTTCTTCTTGAAGTAAATAATAATAATGCCATAGAGGTGAAATTATTTCACGTTAACCCTAAAAATAATATTTTTCTAAAATTGAAGTCTTGTTTTAAAAGATTCATATGATTGAAATCTTTGTAGATGGATTATGTATTTGTAAGTTGAAAGCTTAAAACTTTTTGACCGATTAAATTAATTTAAACCTCTTAAACATTTCAAACCTCTTAAACATTTTAAATTTGTCCAAATGTATACATCGTAGCAATTTACATTATTATTATTCTTCTTGTATGAATTTGTAACTATTGTACAATTGCTTGTGAACCCAGATTTGCATGGAACATAAATAGAAATTACACTTATAATTTCTGCCAAAAAAGTTTTAATTGTTTTAAAATTATATTCATATATGTTAGGACCCTGGAATATGTAAAGTGGATTAAAGACTAAAGAGGTTGTTATTGTTATTTTGCCTTTTTTCTTGAAAAATTGATTTTTGCTAATTCAAATGTAAACGACTCTTTTCTCTAAAACAATTTAGGCCATAGGCCATCATGTCCCTCGTTTGGGTTTAAGCAGTAGGCCATTAGGCCATTTTCCTGGAAATGAGTCTTTTAAAGATTTTCTAAACCACATTTTTGAATTTGTTTGCAGGACGGAAAGTATTGTTTTCCACCTTCTTTAATAATATTTCTAATAATCAAACTGAGAAAGAGAAACAAAAAATTTGTTAAATTCTTAAATAAGTATTTTGCTTAAACTTGATTTTTCAAAAGAATATGTGTGCAGTGCAGAATGCAATCACCAAAAACCTGTTAGAAAGGAAAATTAACCAAAAAATCTCCACCCTGTTAACTTAAAAGAACAGACAGTTGTGACATGTTACTTTCGTGCAAAAATTGTTGTCAAAAGGAAACGTTTTTTTTAGCTACAGGGTATCCTACATCATATTGGATCGTGTTATAGCTTTAAATTGCTATATCTGGCCGGGAATAATCAGAAAATCTAAAATAACAAAAATTATTTTTAAAAATTGTATATTGCCAATATAAAGATTTGCTTGAAGAAAATACCAGGTTTTTCGAATATTAGGTATTTTGGCGTTTAAGCTTGGAGATAATCTAATATGATATGGGACCCTAAGATTTAGTAAAATATTGTTGATTCCTATATTGAGCATGGTGAGAGGGGGGGATAGGTGTTTCTCTGTCGGAGTTTTACTTATGAATGCATATTGAACCCTGTACTCAACCAACCTCTATTTTTATCTATTCAATCTATTTTTAGCAAAACAATTTCTTCATGGCATGAAAAGGAGTACCCTGCCCTGTCACACTCAAAATACCAAAAATTTTAAAATCACTATTGGGCTGCAAAAGTTGTATTGCTGCCAAATCAGTAATATAAAATCGCTTATTTTTAATAAAAAACGCTTAATTGACAGTCATCCAACTTCTTGTTGCTAAGGATAAAATATTGGGATTTATTTGAAATCAGCGATATGTTCTTATACATAGTTGCAGAAATCTACGGGAAACGTTCTGGACAAAAATTGAATATTAAAGAAACAGATACTGTAACAGAGATTTTATACAGTCTTATTTCAAAAAAGTTTTTGAAATTCAGCTGCTCTACTTACACTATGGCATGTCCGATTCCCTCGAGCCACTTATAAAACCTTTTTTCCTGTCAAGGATAAATGCGATATTTAGTTGATCTTTTAAAAACATCAATCTTGGAAAAAAAGGCGAAAAATTCACATTATTTACCAGACAAAGTTTGAAAGAGTATCTGTACATGTAAACGGACATATGCCTTTCTTTGAATGTCGTGTGATTTGAAATTACGTTTAACCTTTAAGCGAGATTTGAAATTACGTTTACTGTTCCTTTAAGCGATATTTGAAATTACGTTTACTGTCTCTTTAAAGGGAGTGTTCGCGAAATATGAAATATTAACTATATACGAATGCGTTGAAAAATAATCGATGACTACTGTTTGGAATATATGAGTTGAATGTTTCATCTTTCCGAATTTGTATGGACGCTGCGTTCTTACTTCTTCGGTGTGAGTCGTTTTTAACAAATTTCTCCTTATAGACGTAACAGATAGAAGTAAGATTAGTAGCGATCAAAAGCGCTTTTTTATCGCATTAAGCCTATACCCCCTTTCATTTTTCGCGAACACTCCATTTAAGCAAGATTTGAAATTACGTTTACTGTCCCTTTAGGCAAGCTTTGAAATTACGTTTAGTGTCCCTTTAAGCAAGATTTATATTTTTCCCATGTCGCTTGCTGTAATGAATACTGAACATGTTTTAAATGCTTTCAAAAGCTAAATATTCTTTGTCATTGTTTAAAATGCTTAGATAATTATTTGAGTGGAAAGACTATGGAGGAATATTGTATTTTATATTCATAATGATTCATGATGATGTGTTTTATCATAATTTTCAAAGTTTTTATTTCTTCTCAGAAACTGTAAAAACTTTGAATTTTCATTAAATTTTCAATCATTCATAGAATTCTAATTTCTACTGCATCCTAATATTTTGTTTACCCATTTTGTTCAATATTACAACCATCATTTTCAAGACTACAACTGTTATGTTCCCATTTTGTTTAGAATTACAACCATTTTGTTCAAAATTAAAACTTTTATGTTCAAAATTACAACCATTTTGTTCAAAATTACAATCATCATGTTCAAGATTACAATAATTTTGTTCAAAAGTACAACTATCATGTTCAAAATTACAACCGTTTTGTTCAAAATTACAATCATTTTGTTAAAAATTACAACCATTTTGTTCAAAATTACAATCATCACGTTCAAGATTACAATAATTTTTTTCAAAAATACAACTATTATGTTCAAAATTACAACCGTTTTGTTCAAAATTACAATAATTTTGTTAAAAATTGCAACCATTTTGTTTAAAATTACAACCATTTTGTTCAAAATTACAACCATTTTGTTCAAAATTACAACCATTTTGTTAAAAATTACAAACATATTGTTTTATATTACTTTTCAAAAATAGTCTGACGGAAACGGTATAAGTTAAAGACTGCTCTAGGCAGATGAAATTGTAAACAAGTTTGTGATATTCTAAACTGTCTCTAATACAAGGAATTCCCTTTTTTACATTGAACAAACGCCAAAGTTATAGTCTTATAATTGAGAACTCTGTTAAACAGCTTACATTTAGAAAAATCCAAGATCTAAGAAATCAGGTTGCAAAAATATAGGAATAAGAAAATCAGAGCTTTTGGCACGTGTTTAGTTTCTGTACAGTGAAGGAATAATTTTGTTTGAAAATTCTCAGTTGGAGGGTTGAAGTTTCATTTCCAGACAAAGATGGGTTCCCAATCTAGTAAATCATAAAATTAGAATTATTGATTTTTCTAAAAATTCATATTTAGTACATAGTAAAGAAAAATAGCAGTTTTTAGGTCACACAAATTGGTGAGATAACAAAATATATAAATCCAAAAATCATAATTAATGATTATTCTAAAAGTTCATATTTAATCTATAATGGTTAGGAAAATAGCAGTTAATATCTCAACTTCATGATCGGGAGCAAACAAATACTAACATAGATATAAATCACAAAATCATAATTAATGATTATTCAGAAAAGTCATATTTAATACATAATAAAGAAACATATAGATATAAATTATTATTAATGATAATTCTAAAAGTTCATATTTAATCTATGATAAGGAAAAATAGAAGTTAAGGTCACACCAGGGGGAGTCAACAAACAAACAAAAACATTTGATAAGTTCGGAAATTTTCAATTATGTGTTATTCTCTCACTTTACTTTTCTGCTTGTGTTTTTAAAATCGTTTTTACCTTCAAAAATGTTGGTGTAACAATTTTCTTTCATAATCATGATTTATAAATATTTGGACTAAAAATAACTAGACAAAGAACATTGTTCCGCGTAATTTCATAAAAGAAACGTCTAATAAACCTTTTGATTATATTTTCAGGGTTTTTTCATATTTTATACATCATAATATTTTTTAAATAATTGCACAATTAAACATATAAAACGTATTTCTTAATGAATTAAACGACTTTCAAAGCATGAGCATTAACCAGTGTTGAAAATGTGGTATCCAAAGAATTCAGTTTATAAAATCTTTGATGAATATTCCTTGGCAATGCAGTTTATAAAGTTCTTGGTGAATATTCCTTGGGAATGCAGTTTATAAACTCCT